CCAACCTGGACCTCCCCCACTGCAACTTGAGACCATTGCTCCTTGTTCTGTCATCTGCCACCACTGAGAATCATGCCAACTTAATTTCCTTTGGCCTAGTGGATGGCTGGGAAGCAGTAGACATGATATATATTGATTTTAATAAGGCTTTTGACAAAGTCCCAAATGACATTTTCATAAACAAGCAGGGATAGTGTGGCCTAGATGAAATGACTGCCAGGTGGGTGGCACAACTGGTTGAAGAACAGTACTTAAAGAATAGTTATCTATGGTTCACCGTCAAACTGGGAAGATGCCTTTAGTGGAGTCTCGCAGAGGTCCATCCTAGGTCTAGTACTGTTCAATATTTTTGTTAAAGACTAGGATAATGGAGTGGAGAGTATCTTATAAAATGTGTGGAGGACACCAACCTCTAAGGGGTTGTGAGCACATTGGAGTACAGGATTAGAATTCAAAACGGCCTAGACAAATTGGAGAATTGATCTGAAATCAGCAGGATGAAATTCAATAAAGACTAGTGCAAAGTACTACAGTTGGGGGCGGGGAGGGGGAATCAAATGTACAACTACAAAATGGGGAATGACTGGGTAGGTGGTAGTACTACTGAAAAGGATCTGGGGGTTATAGTGGGTCACAAATGGCATATGAGTCAGTATGATGCAGTCTCAGAAAAAGCTAATATTCTAGGGTGTATTAACAGGAGTGCTGGAAGACACAGGAGGTAACAGATGCTCAGCGCTGGTGAGGCCTCGGCTGGAGTGTTGTGTCCAGTTTTGGGCACCACACTTTAGAAAAGATGTGGACAAACTGGAGAGAATCCAGAGAAGAACAACAGAAGTGATAAGAGGTTTGGAAAACCTGACCTATGAGTAGGCTTGGCCGAGTTTGAAATTAAAAAAACCTATGGATAATCTCAATATTTATTTTTAAGCATTTTTTCTATTTTTATTTATTTAAATGTTCCCAGTTGCAGGAAATTAGGGGGGAATCAGAGAATGCCTGGTTAAAGACAGTAGACCGATTTAAAAAGTTAAAGCTTTGTAATAGTTTAATCGCCAATATCATAAATCGCCAATATCACATGTCAAAATATACAACTAAAATTCTGAAGCAGCATTTTTCTTACTTTGCCTATCTGTACATTTTGAGTATTATTGATGGAACTATTTTTTTGTCGGTTTGTGTGTAGCCAATGAAATTGACATTTACTGACAAAAATCTAATCGTTCCGAGCCTACCTATGAGGAAAGGTTAAAAAAACTGGTCATGTTTAGTACTGAGAAAGAGAGACTGGGGCAGAGGGGTGGGGAGAGGACCTGATAGCCTTCAAATAAGTTAAGGGCTGTTATAAAGAAGATGGTGACCAATTGCTCTCTGTCTTCACTGAAGGTAGGACAAGATATACTGAGTTTAATCTGCAGCAAGAAAGATTTCAATTAGATTTTAGGAAAATTTTAGGGGTGGACTAGATAGGGCCTTTCCCCCAGACATTTCTATAATTCTATGACACCATCCAGAACTCAGCTGCTTTCTTGCTTTGTTACAATCTGGAAATGCAGGAACATGTTTGTCCAGCAGTGGGAAAATTGGCACCCAGATGAACCTGGTTTTGCATCAAAGTCTTTGAAAATGTGCACATTTGCATGGTTTTGAAACAGCCAGGTGGAGCTCAGCTGTTTTGATCCAACTTTTTACTCAAGTCTAGGAATCGAGCGAGGCAGATCAAAACCAAAGAAGATGTGGAACAGTTCCCAGAGTGAAAGTGCTTTAGTTGTAACAAGAAGTGCTTGGACTAGTGATGACTTGAACAGCAAAACAGAAGAGTAGGTGACTAAATTGTATTTGTTTCTGACTATTAGAGCTGCATATCTGCATCTCTATGTTCATGCCTACAAATACTATGCAGGACAATGTAGAATTAGAGTCTGCAACTCAAGTTCTCCCATGGCATCCATCAGGGAAAATCAAAGATCCCAGCTGATCTGGGGTGATGCATGAGACAAAATAGCCAAGTTCCAGACCCGGAGAGGGGAACAGAGCCCTTTCAGGAGAGGCAGTTTTTGTTCTTTGTTGGCGGTGTGCTGAAGGGCTGTTTTCCCCCCTAAAGCGATCACCACTTTTGTCTCTGTCATTCACTGCTTCAGTGGAACGATCTATGCAGGCAGGGTGTCTTCAGATATGCATGTGCAACTCCTAGTCAGGTTACTGGAAGCCGAGCCCATGTGCACCCGAGGCGGAATTTTCCCTAAGACGAAGTAGCATGGCAAAAGCAAATTTTCCGCTTCCTTACCTCCTCGCTGCTTGAGGATTCTGAGCTGGACCCATCCTGGCTGCAGTAAACTGCCAAGTTCTGTATCTGCTCTTCAGAGACCCGCACTGTACTTCTGCAGAAGGCCGTTTGCTGTAACAGATCAAAATAGAGTTCACTCATGCAGCTATGGAGGCTATGGCATAAGCCTACTGGCACTGTCCAGAGAACAAGTTTCAATCAAAAGTCTTACAGCCTTTTGATAGCCAGCTACCAAGAGCAGGGACCTGAGAGCGCACATTGTTCACAACCCTGGATTAGCCTTTGGTTCTGGTCTTCCAGCAAAACTTATTTGTGGCAGTTCAGTGTAGTCACCAGTCTCTTGAGTATTTCCATTTTTGAACTGGGCGTGTCTGGCTTTCGTGCTCCTGAAAGACATCACCCCCATGCTCTGGAGACTGTTGCTCTCTGCCCAACCACAAATAGGTGCAGCATGGACAGCGCTAAGATGAGGTGCCTCACACCTTGCTTCCCCAGTGTTCCTCAGCCCCCACAGAAGGAACTCCTCCAGGGCAGGGAGAACATCAGTCCCTTCTGATCCACCCAATAATTTAGTCTTCTGAAGGCTGTAGTGTTTTGTCTAATTCTGGTTGTTGGGCTGGGTGGTGTTTAGTGGCCAGTCATACAAGCGGTCAAACTCGATGATCTGGTGGGCCCTTCTGGCTTTAAACTCTATGACCATCTACATTTCAGAGGCCCTTTTCATCCCTTTGGTTCTCTGAGATTGCAGATGGGGAGCCAAATGGTGCTGAGCTGGTGGTAGTCCTAGTTTTTTTTAAATTACTTCTTTAATCACCAGACTTGAGGCTTTAATGATTAAGCGGTAGTTTCACACAAACTGAAGCACAACACACACCTATTTTAGGTGATGGGGTACTGCAGGATTGCCCTTAGCTCCCTCCTGGTGATATTTTGATATTGTACTTTCATACTTTTGCACGTTTATTAGGATTGCCTGTAAGCGACACAAAGCAGAGAAGACAGTTGGAAATTCCTATTCCCTCAGTTGGGGGAACTTTCCTGTACTTTACCTGACCGAGCTGAGTAAGGACACAATCGCAGACATACACACATGCATCAAATTCAGCCACTGGATAGGGACTCCCCTAAATGATAAAATCCACTGTCTAGTTGCCAATGGACTTGGGTGTGGCCCTGTGATGGACTTCAGTTGGCCTGTTAACAAGTGTTGCCTGATAGAGGACTTGGAGTCCTATGGGCTGCTCTGCTCTATGCCAGGGAACAGGCCCGCATATAGCTCAGCTCAGGAGCGGGAGACTGTGTACAGAGGTGGCTTTAAGCCACATTTCCTTCCACTCCCATCCTGGGGCTAGCTGGTTGAGTGACCATCAGATAAGCATTGGTTTTTACTGAATCCTAAATATCCTCAAACAGCAGCTTGGTGTTCATATTATGCTCATCCAGTTAGCAGACCAGCTACATGGGGGACTACCCTGGGATGCAGGGCGGACTTGGACATCATGGTGTCCACCATGAACTTGAACTTCCAGAGTGATAGCATGGCCCAAAGGGTTGATGTGATCCTTGGGATGTATAAACAGGGGAATCTTGAGTAGGAGTAGAGAGGTTCTATTCTCTCTCTGTTTGGCACTGGTATGACTGCTACGAGAATCCTGTGTCCAGTTCTGTCGTCTCTAATTTCTCAATATCCTTCGGGAATTGTTGAGGATTCAGAAAAGAGCCATGAGAATGATTAAAGGACTGGAAAACTCAAGGATCTCAATCAGAAGGTTAAGGGATGACTTGGTCAACATCGAAGTACTTACACAGGTAACGGACCATTTGATAACAGAGGGCTCCTCAATCTAGTTGACAAAAGATACAACAGCATCCAATGCCTGCAAGTTGAAACTACATCAATTCAGAGAAGAAAAAAGAAGTGTCTCTTAACAGTGAGGAGAATTAACCATTGGAACAATTTACCAAGGGTTGTGCTGGGTTCTCCATCACAGGCAATTTTTAAATCAAGCTTGGCTGCTTTTCTAAAAGATCTGCTCTAGTTCAAACAGGAATTAATTCAGGGAAGTTTTCTGGCCTGGGTTCCACCCACAAGGGGTCATTCTCGATGATCACAATGGTCCCTTCTGGCCTTGGAATTTATGAATATGCTCATTGTGGAGAGGAAGATGCAGGAGCAATTTTTCAGTCGGGTATTTTTTGCTGTGAAAAAAACATTTTAACTACACCTGTGTTGTTAAGTGCGGCAATGTAAAATAATGAAGATGGGCTTGGTCTGGTCCTTTCTAACGTGGCGTGGAATACCCCCCTTTCTCCCACCCTGTGCATGTTGAGCAGGGAGGAGTCTACAGCAGGTTATGTATTGTGGCCAGTCCTCAAATGTCATTTACTTAATGCTTCAAGCCAAGTATTTGCTTAGCAAAGACCTTGAATGATCAGCACAAAAGCTGACCGATTCCCAGGCCATGTTCAATCACACA